CCTATCTGTAATATTATGATTTTTTTATTATCATTATCGCAAAAATTGTCATTCAAAGGTTGTTAAACTCAAAATTCCTTACAACTATTTTTTTTTAATATGACACCCAAAGTATCGCAAAAAAATGGATTTATGCGCTTCTTACAAAAAATTGTTATTTAGGCACACTTATATTTAAATATATTTAAATTTAAACTAATATTTTAAGGCAGAATTTCTGGTTTTGTAAGAAGCGCCTCAATTGCATTAATACCCATAGAAATCTTAAGATTTATTAATTTACTACAGTCTATAGACTATAATAATAATTATATATTGTATTATGGCTTTATAACAAAATTTGTTGTTTTATTATATTTAATAAGCATCTGTTTCCTTATTAAATAAGGCGACACAATTATTTTCTTTTAAGTATTTTCTTTTTTATGTATTTTGTGATTATAAGTTAATTTTTGTTTGGATTTTTAGATTTTTTTAAGGGTTTCTAAATTTTTAATAAAAATTCCATATTTCTTCATTTTTATTATTTATTGTGATTTTTAAAACTTTTTAAGGTTACATTTAAATTTTACAAAATCCCTTTTAGTTGTTTTTTGAGTTTTTTTAAAATTACTAAAAAAACTTTCTTTTTTTATGGTACAGGATGATCCCCTATAATGTCGCCCCCCTTTAACTTTTTTATTTTAAGTGTCCCAAAAAATTTAAAAGTGTGGTTATGTAGGTACTAAAAAATACTTTTTTCTACGTATTAAAATAAATGAAAAATTGATCAATATACAGGGAAAAACAAAAAGTTTATTTTTTTTTCAATGGATCACCCTATATATGAATTTATTTTTCGATTCCTTGTAAAATTTTGAGCATAATTCATATAACAAACCATATCCTAAATTCAATTGTTTCCCTGTATATTGATCAATTTTTCATTTTTTTTAATACGTAGAAAAAAGTATTTTTTAGTACCTACATAACCACACTTTTAAATTTTTTGGGACACTTAAAATAAAAAAGTTAAAGGGGGGCGACATTATAGGGGATCACCCTGTACATATAAAAATTTTAATATTATAAAACTCATAAACCTATATAGAAAGACTTCATATTTGTACTGTTCAAAAGTCAAATTATTATTCACCTAGTACAATAATAAAAATACATTGAAATTACATAGGAGGAGTGTACATAACCTATAATGTCAAAAGTCAACACTATCTGCCTATGACAAAATGTCGCAAACTCAATAATTCCAATGTAAAAAAAGAAATTATTAACGCGTCAAAAAAAATTTTGTACCTTGGCCAGCACCTGAGCAGCGAAAACTGAGCTTTGCTATAATATAAGCGCTTTCTTCGCCTGTTAGGTAATAAACTATTTTATCAAATTAACAATTAAAAAAAAATTGTGGACATTTTTTTAGTTTCAGTTATGCATTTTGTAGGGCCTTTTTTCCTTAGAATTTTGTAATTTTCATGATTTATTTTTAGAAAATTACAGACACGTTTTTTGACAGTTCTATTTTTTGTATTTCTAAAATAATTATATTATAAAAACAATTAAAATCATGGATAAATCCAAGGTACCTAAAAACAATGACAAAAGCCGTAACCATAAACAATCATCCCGGCTAAACGTTTGGCCACCAAATAGCCCCCCGAAATTATTAACGAAGGCAATAACCATGTTTATGGCAGAGCCCATAAAACGTGGGATCGCCTTAATAATATTTCTCCTATACTACTGAGTAATCCAGGGTCTTGGCGGCGTGCACCGTTGCCGCCGTTTTAATTCGATTTCATTACGGACAGCATGGGGGCGGCACTATGCGGACACCGGCCGAACACAAATGGCCCCCGAGCAGCGGCGGTCGCGGCAATAATCGTAAAGGCGTCAAGAAACCTTTTATTCTATTATACCGGTTAATGTGTAATATATATTGTGTGGCCCCTTTTCTTTGCTCGCTTATTAAACGTGACGGGAATTTAAGAATTCTTAAGATGTTTTTGTGAAAATAAAAGGATACACGTTCGATTTATTTTAACAATAAAAAAGTTTTTCATGGTAAAGCTCCCCGTCGTAATTCCGCGATTAGAAAAAGTGCCAGTCACCAATTGAATTAACTTAAAAACAATCGCACAACATTCCCATAAATATTAAGACGGATGTTGTATTTGTGTTTTTCTCTTTTATTATTTTTATTTTGATTGAACAAATTGGAGTACAAGTTGTTCGAATGAATATATTTGATAATAACATGGAAAAGAAAAAAAAATGATAAAAAGCATAGCTTAAAAGATAAAGTCTGTTTGTCTTAAAACTACGTACAATAAAATATATACAGTGTGTTTCATTTTGATTGGCGACAATTCGGTATTTAAAAATAGACCGATTTAAAGAAACAAATTGTCATATGTCATTTCCATGGCCCTCTATGATTAATAGAAGGTCTCCAAGAACGTAAAATGTTATAGGGCATTTTTAAAATTTAAAAAAAGATAGCGTTTCTGAATTTCGCATACCCAAAAACCCCTAAAACAATAATTATGTAATAAAATTTTATACAAATGGTTAAAAAGTCAAATTTGAAAAAAAAAAAAAATTAAGCACTCTAGATAGCAAAAATTTTGCAAAACATGTCATTTTTTATGTATTAGGTACAGTGGCCGACACGGAATTTTGAACGACATAACTTGGTTGTCAATGTATACAACTGTAAATAGCAAAGATACAATATTGAGCATTTTTGCTTTCGCTGTCAAAATTACAATACTAGTGATAACCGAAAGTAAGGTTAATTGTCCATAAAGAAAGTTTAGATTTTGATGTCAACGGGATGATAGTCGTTCAAAATTCCGTGTCGGCCACGGTACACGAACTACATTCGTTTAATTTTGTAACTCTAGCATATACAGTGTTCTCAAATTTCGGTAAAAAAATATAAAAAATAATGGTATTTTAAATAGTAATATTAATCTAATTAGAGTCAAAATATTAATAAATGAAGTAATCTTTTAGGTACCAGTACACATTTGTGTATAGTTAATTCATTAATAGTATGCCTAATATTTTCATTTAAAATAACATTAGTTTTTATAAATTTTGACTTTAATTTGTGAGCACTCTGTATGAGCTAGAGTAACAAAACTAAGCAAATGAGTAGTTCGTGTAATACCTAAAGAAATGACAGAATGTTTTTGCAAAATCTTTGCTAGAATTTATAGTGCTTAAAACATTTTTTTCCAAATATGACCATAATTTTTGGACACCCTGTATAAAATTTTAAAGATAGAGCTTTTCGAGTACTACAAACTATTTTTTTTAAATTTATATATGAGGAGGTCCATTCCAAAACTTGGCTTATCCACGTTTTAATAAAAATGACTTAGTCTGTACATTTAACATGTATCCACCTATACCCTGAAAAGTTCATTATTCTAAAACTCACCCTTTTCCATTTAAAATTCATTTACAAATTGACTGTCGTTCCAAAACTTGCCTTATCTATTGGTTATATTATTCAGAACTCGGCATATACGTATGTAATTTTAAATTATTTTTTCTACTCTCACCTTTAAAACGCCCTTTATCGTACATGTTTCCATGACACTAAGTGACCTTTTAAATACATTGACAAGTTGTGGCTTTATGGCGCTTTAGTCACGGGCTGAAGTTAGTTTTAAGTTAGTTGACAGTTGTCAAATGTCATAAAATCGTTAAAATAAAGTGCCTTTCTTGTAAAATAATACTAAATGTGAAAATTATTTTATTATCTCAATACAAAAATACAAAAGTATTAAATAGTTTCTCAACGCCAATATTTGAAAAGTTTATATGAACATTGTACTGAAAAAAATTTCGCCGGCAGTAAACTATAACTTAAATTCGGGCATGGACTCCATTGTAAAAAGCTCATAAAACATTTTATTTACTTTCACTGTGAAAAACTGTCAATTTTCAAGAAATACATTTCGATTTATAACCTTTATAAAATATAAAAATTTGACATTTGACGGTGACACACAGATTCCCCTATTGTTTCATAGATGGCGCTCTATACAAATTTTTGATTTAAATCATTTTAAGATAATAATAAGTATTTTTCGTAGAAAAAGTATAGTATGCACCTCGTTTATAAACTTTTCTATACACTTATTAATTTAAGCACTCGCTCGCAAGCTCGCTCGTGCCTAAATTAAATTCGTGTATAAAATGGCGTTTATCAAACTTGATACATAATATACTATTAGCTATACCTTTTTAATAAAGGTATATAAATGTTTTACTTATGCCTATATATTTCGTTTAAAGTATTCTGTTGGCCTGATATGCCTTAGTACTCACGTGTAAGGTTTTTTACATTTTGCTCAAAAACAACTAATATGGATAAGCCGAGTTTTGGAATGCACCTCCTCATATGTAATATTTAATATTTCAAATATTATTTTTTTTTTTAATTTTCATTTGGTTTTGTAGTTTTAAGACAAGCAGACATTTTATAAAAAAAAATTGCTTCATCTTCTAAACTTTCAAATAACAACATCATTTTTCGAACTCGTGGAGGCACTAAGGATTTAATTCCTTATAAAAGCTATATTTTAAAAACAAAATAACAAAAGCTCATACTTTCGATTAAAATTAATGAAACACGAACTCATCTTGAATTCCATTAACTCTTGTAAACCCATACACGACAAACAAAGAAACAATCACACTCCAATCTTTTAGAAAAAATTTCGCAATTAAAATAATAACCAACATCTCATTATTTATCTTAAATCTTATGCAGTCATGACTATTTGCTTGAAACTCGAATTATGTATTTCGAAAAGCCTTTCACGACCGTAAGTTCTAAGTACCTACCTATTTAAAATTTGCCTTTATATGTATGAGTTTTTGTTGTCTATCAAATATAACATTGATGGCTAAGAAACCTTCTTGAATGACAAATTCTAAGCTAGAACAAATTAAAAATAAAAATAAATAACATATTCTTTTTTTTTCAGGTTCACTTATACTTTAACGCCTTGCCTGAAGACAAGGTACCCTATGTTAACTCAGCAGGAGAAAGGTACAGAGTTAGGCAACTCCTACAGCAGTTACCGCCTCACGACAACGAAGTCCGGTATTGTCACGCACTCAGTGATGAAGAAAGGAAAGAGTTGCGACTTTTTTCCGCTCAACGCAAGAGGGAAGCACTGGGCAGAGGAGCTGTGCGACAACTGCCGGGACCTATGCAATGTGAAATGGTAAGAAATGTGATTTTGTTGTGTCTTTATATTTTTTTGATGAGAGGTAAGAAGATATCCGCAGATAAAAAGATTATGTAAAATGCTTACATCTCCCGAAAAAATTTAAAAACGTTATAAAATCTAACGATCAAAATCTCTTTATAGTATCCCTTCGCTAAAAAGCAAAGATCGAACATATTTTCTAAACGTTTCATAAACTCGTAAAACCAAACTTTCCAGTTATCATATAAGATTTTTCCTTTCCCGTTTATGGGTCCCCGGGTTTGTTATATAACACCGGTGAGGGTTGAACCCTTATTCCATATTCCGGTAACGGAAAAACGTATGGTTTTAAATAAAGATCGTTGCAGATTTAACTGACAGGTTTTAAAGAAGTTATAATAAAGTTTTTTACTCCTGTGCTTATATGGATTTTGATTTATAACCGATATATTGAGGGGAGAGTTTTTACTACCTAAATCCTAGGATAGGAAGAACTACTTCTTTATTTTGAATTTAATTTAATTCTGGCGGCCAACAAAAAATTATTGTTAGCGTTAAATGCGTGCCGACCGGTCGCGACCCCGTGGTTAAATAACTTATAAAAACAAAAAAAATATTGCACTTTAATATATATTAATTATTAAAGTTTTTTTTGAAAATTGACATAATGTCATTTGATTAGGTTGGTACCGTATACCAATATACTTTGGTATTTTTAATATTTAAAATTGGTCCTCCTGTTCAATGTCTTATTTTACTTTGACATTTTTCATTTAATTGTTAATTATAATAAACAATACTAGCAAATTCTAAACGATTATTTTTTATTAAACAAAACAGCATTTTGATAAAATAATTTATTTTTTCTGCATAAATCCACTAAATTGTTTTGTTTCAAATACTTAATGTGGCCAATTATAAATTTAGCACCCCAGCACCAATACAACATTTTTTAAATTTAAATCTAATAATTTGACTATGTATAATATATATATTATAATCAATTCAAATTATTAGATTTAAATTTAAAAAAAGGTGTATTGGTGCTGGGGTGCTAAATTTATAATTGGCCACATTATATATTATATCATTCAGTTAAATATGACCTTACAATTAGTCACTTTTGACTAATTCATTTTAAGAAAAGATTCAGGGCATAAGCAAATATTACAAGCTTGTTGCTTTTATGAAGCGAAAGATTGAAGGATATCGACCAAAACAAGTGCTGTTCAAAATTGTATGACCATTTTAACACCAAATTAACACCATGTAAATTCAAATACTAAAATAGTGTAAATTTAACTTTCACACAGTGTTAAAATAAATTTTACCTGGTGTAAATTAAACTCCTTTTCTGTGTGAAATATTATGTGTTTTTGGTCAAATTAAATCATACTACTCAGAAAAAAAAGGAAAAAAAGGAAACAGGAAGTTCCTTGACGCATTACCAGTGGTATTATTCCAGAATATTGAACCTTCAACTTGCTAGAGATAATGTTTTTAGCGCGTTCCACCAACTTAAAATACTCCAAGCTCTTATTCTACAAACAACATATTTAGTAAACTGAACCATACAGCAGGTTCGTTTCACTTAAGTTTTCTGAGTTAATTTAACCAATTTAAAAAAAAAATAACAATCTGGATTAGCACCGTCAAACTAATCTTTGTTTATTTTAACCTTCCCACAGTTGATTTAAATAAATACTAAATTAATTTAGTTAAATTAACTATTCCTTTTTTTTCTGTGTAGGTGCACTTCTCAAATATTTTTAAATGAACACCGTTTTGGTGTTTGCTGTATATAACATTTTCCACCATAATTCATGGTGTTTATATTAACACCACTTGGTGTTGGATTTAGACACCATTTTAAGATTACCCTTTACACCACAGATATTTTAAACAGTGTAGATGCTGTCAAAAACATGTGGGACATTTTGTATGAATTTAATTACAAAAATGATCAAATTGTATATTTGACGTTACCCAATTATTGTTGAATGACAGCCCTACTAAGGCATGAGTTTAAAATTGTACTTTTACTGACGTTTATAGAAAAAAATAATTAATCATACAACTCTCAGTGGACCAACTTAAAATAATTTTAATTAAACTCCTGCAATCACCCAAACATTCACAGCAGGGCAAAAACTCAATTAAAGAAAACAAAAAAACCATTAATATTAAAAAATATGCTGGATTTGCATTTTTCTAATTACTACTGCTACTCAGGACATTCATCCTAAAGTAGCAGGAAGAGAGCGGCCCGTATTTGCTCTTGCGGTCTCGCAGGATTCGGCATCAGAAAAGGGCAATATTTAAACGAAAATACTGCTGAATTCTTTGCAGGAAAACAGCACCGATGGGAGATATTAATTTTTATTTTACTTACGGTCGTACCTATGAAGAATAACAATTTTAAGCATGATTCCTCGTGCAGTCATATTTGTGATATCAAAAATTTCAACAATCAAGAACAGAAACTACTCTTTATGTAAAAAATGACAGTGTTAAAAACCAGTAAATACCACCTTAGGAATGTTGAAAAAACAAAAACCGTTATTGGCTTTTTGCGTTAGACTTAAATGCTCATAAGAGGCATTTTACTTAACTGCTTTAATTAACTTTAAAGCTATATGGAGTAAATTTTATAGGATTTCTTAGAGATGCCGATAAACATAAAGAAAAGTCGTTATATTTCAGAATTGCCGTCTTATTAATTGAACTAATTAGAAATAACGTTTGATAGTGAAGCGCGCGCTCCTATTGAAATTAAGTTTTTAAACGGAATTTTCGTCTAAAACTAATAAAAAGTCTTTGTAATTAACCGCATCGGCAAGCTTGAAATGCCTCGGCAATCAAGAATTAACAATTAAATGGTGAAGGAAAATCTTGGAAAATTTCCTTTTCGTTTTGTAATTATTTCTTCTAATGAAAATCCCAACTTTAACTGGTTCTTTATTAAAGCAACCCCGCGCGGCATTGTCTTGAATTAATTTATTACTTTTGCGCGGTTTCAGAGTGCATATTTTAACTACTTTCTTAAATAAGGCTTTTTTCAATCTTGAGTTATTTGTGGTTTAATTAAAAGAGTACATTTTAAATCCAGAGTGCCAAAAACGCCAATCCTTGTTGCCAGATTACCTACACGACATTTTCACTATTTCATCTGGTAACACTGAAATATCGTCAAAATTATCTAAATGTGGAACAAAATACAGTTAAATGAAAAATTCAAAAACTAGTTTGTAATATTTATCCTAAATGTAAAGAAAATACATAATGTAAAATATATTTTTCAAAAAAACTTTCTTATAAAGGGTCTCCCAAAAGTCTTGCACCACCTTTATGATCTACAGAAACCCAGGAATCCCAGAAAATTGTTTAAAAAAATTCTACCTTTATTATTTAAAGAGATATGCGAGCCTTAACATTAAGTTTTTAAACTTAAAAATAATAGGCTTACCTTATTTAAATTGTAATGGTTAATTGATTGTTATCCGTTGACATCACACCATGGCCAATAATTGAAAGTTACTATCTAAATTAAGTACTCATAGCATTTCTGTAACAAAAATGTTGTCATATATTACATATACATGTATTCCTTTAGTGTGCCTGAACAAAGTTTAAGTCACATAAAAATGTCGCCAAAAACTGATTGCAGTTTCTTGTTCGGGACCCTTTGGTGACTTAAAAATGATATTTATCAAAATCCTAGCTGCTCCTCTTTTCGAAATTTTTTGAAAATTATATTATATTATTGAGCAGACTTATAGAATACTTTTTAATACTGTTCACATCATTTGATATATACAGGGTGAGTTATTTTTAATAAAGCAAAAGCGTAAAATCATGATTTTGGCATAACACGCAAAAAAGATTTATCCCCATTTTTTTAAAAATATTTCTACGTTTATCAGGTTACAAAATGGCATTCTTATTAACCTTTGATAAAAAATAGATTTTTAATAAAATTAATCAAAAAAACGCTTAGAGAATATTTAAAATGTTGTTTAATTTAGGCTTTTTAGTAGTTTTCAATTTTGAACGAAAAACTGGTTAAAGTTTTTTGATCGGCACTCTTTGGAGATTTAAAAACGATATTTACCAAAATTCTAACTGCTTATTTTTAAATTTGTTAAAAAATCATTTTTTTTTTAATTATTTGTTTATCGAAAAGTCTACCTTTACCAGAGTATACATTTGTACACCGATTTTTATTGATTGCAGTTTCTTGTTCTGGACCCTTTGGTAACTTTAAAATAATATTTACCAAAATCCTAGCTGCTCCTCTTTTCGAAATTTTTTGAAAATTCTTATTTTTTTTTAAATCTTTGTTTATCTTACCTTTGACAGAGTACACATTTATACACCGATTTTTATAATATTGGAGTATATTGTTAACGAGACTTGTAGAATACTGTTTTCATACTGAGCACATCATTAGATTTATACAGGGTTAGCCAAAAATCACTTTTTATATAGTAAAAAGCATAATGCACAAAAAAGATTTATCTCCAAAAAATTATATTTTATTTAATTTTATTCAAAATCAATTTAAGTATTAATAAGAATCCCATTTTGTAGCCTGATAAACATAAAAATATTTAAAAAAACATGGGTGGGTATATATCAATCATTAGATTTATACAGGGTTAGCCAAAAATCACTTTTTATATAGTAAAAAGCATAATGCACAAAAAAGATTTATCTCCAAAAAATTATATTTTATTTAATTTTATTCAAAATCAATTTAAGTATTAATAAGAATCCCATTTTGTAGCCTGATAAACATAAAAATATTTAAAAAAACATGGGTGGGTATATATCAATCATGAAGTTACGCTTTTGCTTTATTAAAAGAAGCGATTTTTGGCTAACCCTGTATATATTAAATGATGTGCAAAGTTTAAAAAGTATTCTCCAAATCTCCTTAACAATATACTCCAATATTATAAAATCGGTGTACAAATGTGTACTCTGTCAAAGGTAGACTTTAAGATAAAAAAAAT